GCGTCTTTTACCGCCTAAATTCTTCTGGTAGATGGCCCTGAAAGTTGTTCTCTGTTTGAGTCAGATGCGACGCTACTGCATCTGTTATCCCAATGATTTCCTTTTTTTAGATTAATCAGCAATATACTTTAATACTGGCACGCTGGCGAATGCGCTATTTTTGAAGCTAGTTATGAGAGTCAATGTGAACTGTACTTTTGAAATAAGATAAATTTCAAATATGAACTCGTCAATCACACCCAGCATTTGACGTCAAGGGTTGCTTAGTCGGTAGAGCGTCGGACTCAGAACCAAGACATCGGATTCGAGCCCCTGTCAAGTTACTCAAGTTGCTTCCTTCCCACGTTGATAAATGTGTACCATTTTGTGGGAAGGAAATGAGAGAATGGACACTGCATTTCACATAGCTTCTGTTGTCTTTACCCATAAAACAAGACACTCATGGTTTACGGCATGAAAAGGAAGATCAGCGACCCACCGTTGGGTCATGAAACGAAGGGCGTCAGAATTCGCCCCGTAATGTGAATGTAAGGAAGACCGACATTCTACTTATTGCAGACTTTTCTTTTCTATCGTCTTTTAGCATATGGCAATAAGATTTACACAGATTAATTGGTAACTGGTTGTTTATTTTTAATTTCGTTGACTTCGCTCTTTGAACTTTCATATAAAAGAAACCCTGTATTGCAAATAACGATTTTTTCTTTAAATAATTTTGTACTTTTGCTTGTTTTTGTCTTTTTGTGCGTTTTAGGTTTTTTTCCTAACATGGAGAAGGATCTGCGCTGTGTTTTGCGGAATTTTTTTCTTGACACTGTCTGCTGCAATCTTTCGCTTTCGTTTTGGCTGAAAACTATCCTTCGTGGTTATTCTAGTCGATATCAAGCTAAACTGTTATTTTTAGTGTATGGGCCAGAGAAAGACGGTAATTTTTTTTCATTTTAACGAAAGTTACCTAAATTTTTGCAGGTTACGTGGAGTGGGGCGCGGTGAATGACCCTACAGTGCGATATTCGCCTTCTTTTCAAGCAGGAATTAGGCGGATGGCTAAGGCATTGCATGTTCTCTTGAAATTTACGGATCTTGGACAAAATGCAGTTGTTTTGATATTTTGCGAACTGACGAGTAAGTGAATAATGTATAGTGAACAGTAGTGAGGTTATGCATGTATAATTTTTCTTAATACTCATTTCATATTATTGCTATCATTTGTTATCATTGTATATCAGCGCTGAATATTGTTTGTACGCGTGTGATTACAGATTCAAGCGGCAAAGTTCTACGATCTTTTTTTGGCCAACTGAGTTGACTTGGGCATATAAACAGATTGGCTGCGGGAAACTTCTAAAAAACAAACTAATGCTGAAGCTACATCAAAGTTTATTCAAGAGTAGAGCTTTGACGATACAGCTAGATTGTACAGAAGATCTTGGACGCGGCGGCACCTTTGAATCCAGTTTTAGATTCAGCGCACCACATAACTTTCATGCAAGCGGTGAAAATTGTTTAAGATCTTGTGATTGCACATGTCATTCATCAAAAGTCAACATTTTTGGCTGTATAGCTCTTGACGCCGTGTTGCAGTATAGCTCTTGAAATTTTGTCACAGTTGTATATTTTCAAGCTTGAATTTATTCTTCTAAGATACTCTACCTCAATTTCTACTCCACGTGTTGATGTGCTACTTCAGCTGCATCGCTTTTCAAAATTCGTAACGTTTTGTGAACCACGCAGTTAATTTCAGGTTTACTCTTTTTTGCTGACAGACCAATTTCTGATACCATTAGTATTTTACCTTATATTTAAGTGTTTTACCTTCGATGGCATCCTGCATGTCTTGCTGAAATGATCATCTGGGTGAAGCAGCCACTTGCAGCCGAGTTCTTTTTCCGTAAAGCATTTCAAGGTGAATACCGGGAAGTGTGCGACTTGTTTAAGAGAAGCTTGATGGTAATTCAAAATTACTTTCGAGTTGCTAACTTGCTAACTATCAATGCGCATTTCAGGCTAATTCAATGAAAGGAATGAGCAACGAATGGCTTATACACATGTTCCTGAATCTTCTGCGTAACATTCCATCTGATTCACAGCTGTTGAGAGAACTAGCAGGAAACGAACGATTGTACAACTCAGCACTGAATACAGCTTTGGATGGATGCGGTATCTTTTTTAGAAATATTTTTTTGACGGGTTCTACCCTTTTCTACATTCATTCTGTTAAGTGACGATTAACAACTTCGTACAACCTTAAACCTGCATGTTGGATTTCATGCAAATCGACAGCATTAAATCTCTGTAACTATCAAAAACTACTGTTCTTCGGTATTATTATAGGCTTATGCTCTAGATTAAGTTGGTTATTTGCCTTGATTGTGAGCTGATAAGTCGAATGACGCTAAACGTCTGTGATTGGCTGTGCATTGTACAAGGCTTTCTCTGAGGTTTTTCCTTTTCTTTATTGTCCAGTCAGTTGAGCACGGAATTCATTTGACTGCATTCATCCTGAAGCAGTGTATCGGCACTCACTCTGATTCAAGTTTGTTACTGTTTATGGAACTTAATTTTATGATTT